TTGTCCAGAGTTCTTCTGAGAACGGACAGGCAGATCACCGGCAGAGAAACTCTTCAGGTTTTCAGGTTTCAGGCAGGTTCAATCTAGGAAGCAGAGAGGAGAAAACAGATCAGGTTCAGGTTCAGATTCTCAGGGAGTCAGAGGTTCAGACAGGCTGGTTGGCTCAGGCTTGCTAACCGTTACTGGAAGTCCTCCGCCTCCTTAAATACGGATCTCCTGATGAGCAGATGAGCGACAGGTGGTGCAATCAGCTCCGGCTCCAGGAGATCTTGTACGCCCTCTTGTGGAGAAAGTGGACAGACCTCCAGATCCCAACTCCACAGCCACCCGGCACTCGGCCGATCACCTAACCGGCTATCTCACCTCATTACCAGAGATCCGAGCAGGGCGAGCAAGCCTTCCTCTAGGTCAGATCAAATCACTCAGCTCATTTAATCACTGCCGGGGGTCCATCACAGCCCGGAACCGGAGGCCGGGGAAGCTGTTGTCCAGGATGAAATTATAGTGGAAGCAAGATGTGTTTTTCACGCGGAGGGAGAAAATCAACAAAGCAAAACTACTGCAAATCAAGAGAGAACAGGTAAGCTTTAAAAAAAAAAAAAACATATTGCTTTTTTTATCTTAGTTCCGTGTGCCGAATTTACGGTTTCCATATATATATATATATATATATATATATATATATATATATATATATATATATATATATATACACTATATTGCCAAAAGTATTTGCTCACCCATCCAAATTATTGGAATCAGGTGTTCCAATCACTTCCATGGCCACAGGTGTATAAATTCAAGCACCTAGGCATGCAGACTGTTTTTACAAACATTTGTGAAAGAATGGGTCGCTCTCAGGAGCTCAGTGAATTCCAGCGTGGAACTGTGATAGGATGCCACCTGTGCAACAAATCCAGTCGTGAAATTTCCTCGCTCCTAAATATTCCACAGTCAACTGTCAGCTGTATTATAAGAAAATGGAAGTGTTTGGGAACGACAGCAACTCAGCCACGAAGTGGTAGGCCACGTAAACTGACGGAGCGGGGTCAGCGGATGCTGACGCGCATAGTGCGAAGAGGTCGCCAACTTTCTGCAGAGTCAATCACTACAGACCTCCAAACTTCATGTGGCCTTCAGATTAGCTCAAGAACAGTGCGCAGAGAGCTTCATGGAATGGGTTTCCATGGTCGAGCAGCTGCATCCAAGCCATACATCACCAAGTGCAATGCAAAGCGTCGGATGCGGTGGTGTAAAGCACGCCGCCACTGGACTCTAGAGCAGTGGAGACGCGTTCTCTGGAGTGACGAATCGCGCTTCTCCATCTGGCAATCTGATGGACGGGTCTGGGTTTGGCGGTTGCCAGGAGAACGGTACTTGTCTGACTGCATTGTGCCAAGTGTAAAGTTTGGTGGAGGGGGGATTATGGTGTGAGGTTGTTTTTCAGGAGCTGGGCTTGGCCCCTTAGTTCCAGTGAAAGGAACTCTGAATGCTTCAGCATACCAAGACATTTTGGACAATTCCATGCTCCCAACTTTGTGGGAACAGTTTGGAGCTGGCCCCTTCCTCTTCCAACATGACTGTGCACCAGTGCACAAAGCAAGGTCCATAAAGACATGGATGACAGAGTCTGGTGTGGATGAACTTGACTGGCCTGCACAGAGTCCTGACCTCAACCCGATAGAACACCTTTGGGATGAATTAGAGCGGAGACTGAGAGCCAGGCCTTCTCGTCCAACATCAGTGTGCGACCTCACAAATGCGCTTCTGGAAGAATGGTCAAAAATTCCCATAAACACACTCCTAAACCTTGTGGACAGCCTTCCCAGAAGAGTTGAAGCTGTTCTAGCTGCAAAGGGTGGACCGACGTCATATTGAACCCTATGGATTAGGAACGGGATGTCACTTAAGCTCATATGTGAGTCAAGGCAGGTGAGCAAATACTTTTGGCAATATAGTGTATATAAAACTAAAAAATGTGTTACTTTTTTTCTTTCTCACAGTCACATCCATTCCGATTAAAAAGATCTGACCAGTCAACTTTTAGATCTAGACCTGATGAAGCCGCTGGTAAGAAAATAAATAAATAAATAATTCTAGGTTTTTTACATCATCTAATCATATATTGTTTTATCTCCTAGACAGACCCCCTCTTGCTCTAAGGATCAGACCAAGTGCCCAGCGTACTATGAGACGGTGAAATGAAAGTAAATATCCTTTTATTTTTTTTTACTTTTAGGATTTATTTTTTTTTTAAGTCAATCTTACTAAAATACTTCATTTTTCCTCAGTAGGAAATCGAAGGAGACAGCATTCCCAGAAACATCTCATTGGGCCTAAATCGAATGGAACGCATCACTTCGGCACCTCCCAACAGAGAAGAAGATCCCAGGAGCCTGGCCTTTCACACATTGGCAGCTGTCGGCGAGTTTCTGTCTTCACCCAACAATCAAGACCAAGACCCTGGAAATCGTTTATCTACTCTGGTGAATATATGTCCCCTATGGAGGGATATTTTTGGATGAAAAAAGAGTAGTGAATAAACATGTCTGACCCGCATTTGTCTGAGTCAAATATATCCCTGAATGTTTCTTCTTCTTCTGAAAATCAAAATGCAGCACAATCAGATCCTTTTCATAATACAGGAAATAAGAGTTGTAATGTGAACTAGATGAAGTTATCTATGTGTGCTACACGTTTTGTGGCACTACAATGATCTATAGTGTAATTATTGGTTATGATATACCTATAATAACAATGAATACATCTCCAAAAATACAGTTTGGCCTATCTTTCCAAAATAAGAAAAAAAAAGAAGGTTAGAACTGTAATATACAGTCATATGTTTATATAACTATTTTTAATGTATTCATTACTGTTTTCAAAGCTACACTTTAAAATATGAAATTGTCTATAGCTGTTCTAAACGAAATTTTCTTTTGTTTACACTTGTGTATACAAAATTACAAAATAAATCAGTCTAAGTCAAAGTAATTATTGGCTTTTATATACTTATAATAACAATGAAAAATCTAAAAAAAAAAAAGATAGAGTTTAGCACATTTTCTCAAAGTAAGAGTTGTAGTATGATTCAGATGAGATTAGTAGGGTCTCCAAAGGAAGTGACAGGGATGTCAGGACAACAGACAGCCTACACTGGGGTACATGGCTAGTGGCGAGAGTCGTTCTACCAAAGCCCACCGTTGTTCCAAAGGCTTTAGTAGGTAAAACTGTAGGTGGTTGTAGTTTTTTTGAGGACTCAGGTTTGTAATGTTCAAACATTATTACTCTATTAAATGTGTTCTTATCAGCTACGGATTTCACAAACCTACACAAATATCCACCCTAAATTTCCCTGACTTATGCGGGCAGGCAGCTTCCCCATATAGGATGCCTGAAATGGTGCAAGAGGACATGGTGGACAAATGCTATTTTCTATTAATTAAAGAAAATACATTTCACTCTAAACCAGCAAAAGTAAAGAAAAGTTATTTTTACTTTTGCTGTGGTTACTGAAAGATACATTGATCCAAATAATAAGCCTTATTATGAACATAACAAAGACCTGGTATACGCATAGTTGTTGCAGATCAAGAGGTCCTAATCGAGTGAGCTTGGAAAAGGGGGATTGACAATTTGCATTTGTTTAGAGTATGTGTTCCTGTGTTTGACAGCATAAAAGAGAAGGACATGGCCCTTACTTTTCTGTTGTTTTCATTGGAACTAAGATACCTCTGACACTTTAGTTTTCTTTTCTACTTTTCACTGTAAAGTGCCTTAAGGTCACATGTGTTGTGAATTGACACTATGTAAATAAACTGAATTGAATTGAATAACATTTTGGACAGATCATGCATTTCATTGATATAAAGGAGCTTGATTGATGCTGTCAACAGAAAATTTATCCCCCAGACTAACCACACCCCATGTTGCAGGCCAAACACACCAAAAGTAGATGCAGTTGAACACGCACACATACTTACCACTCCCTGAGTGCCTCCTCCAATCACTGTGGAGCTGAGGCATGTGCACAAAGCGCGTACACATTCCAACTTACAGACATGGATTTCATTAGTGAAAAAGGCGCAACTACAAAAACCTTATTTGGCTCTTACAAACATGTTAAAGTAATGATGAAGTGAGATCAGTTTTATGTACGACCATTCATTCTTTGCCTTGAAATCCATCCTGAACTATTGGTTATATGCTTCAGATGTTTCTACACATCTAAGCATCATTAATACTGTGTATTCTTATTTAGTTCTACTTTTAGTCAAAATATCAAAGGTCATAAAACCTTTTGTGAGCTTATTAAAACACCCAATAAGAGAAATGCAAAGAAAACAAAATATGTGACTTTTCTAGGTGATAGTTGACAACAATACAATATCAACCTGGTGCTGCAGTTCGCAGCTCTAAAATGTTGACTAATCCCCGATAGTTATAAGAGTGGTTCTGTTTTTACATTTTTCACCTTACAGCTAAAAACCTCAAAAGTTTCATTCTTCATTGCATTAATATAGCAGTAGAAAATAGCACAGAATAATGCCGTGACTGTGGTAACTGTGGTATGATTCTGCATTCAACCTCCCCCAGAAAATACTTTGTAGCACCATGTTTTGCTAAAATTATAAATGTAAGACTTTTGCATGAAGTATTTATCAGCTTTGCATATATAGAGAGTTAGCCTGTTCATTGTAAAATGCCATAAGCTAAGTCAGATTTAATGAAAAAAGCTGAAATTTTTCACCAGAAGAAAAGGTGAGAACATTTACTTTAGTTATTCGAGTAAATCAAACTCTCTTCAATGTTTTCTGCATCTAATCTGACTGAATGTGAAGAGATTGTTGTCACACTTATTTGAAATCATATTGTTGCCAATATGCAATGGACAGGAAATGTTCCAGTTTCTATTAACTGCTACAGTCACAGTATTTGCACTGGTGTGTACTTTGTGTAAAAGGGGAAGGAACACGTTATAATGCTCAGTATACTTTGCAGCAGGTCCATATGTAAGCATGTTAAACAGGCTGCTGTACTGGCCGGACTTCTTTGGTAAGTGCACTATTGACTTTTTTGCTAACATTTTAATGTAAAACATTTCTATATTCTAAGAATTGTATAACTGGTTGGACATGTTCCTCTAGCATTTCATAAAACTAGTTATTGGCTCGGATTGAATGAGAAACAGTGCCTGTTATGTATTAAAAAATGAATAGCTAAATGCAATTAGACATTCTCTGTAAGTTGGATTGAACTTGAACAGTTATATGCTTTTGATAAACTGATAGCACAACAGCTTAGCCAGAGTACCTACATCTCTTTACTAAAATACATCAATTACACACCAAACAGAATACCAGGACTATATGTGATTTAAATAAATCTCACAATCTCACAGTCTGGTTATCATTCAAGAGGTAGCCCTCATGAAACTTATTAACAATCAAAACATTACAAACAAAAGTCTGATGAATAGAAGCTTAGTTTAATGAGGCAAATGCTTCCTTGTAAAACCAATGCAGCAAAAAAAATAATAATATAATTTTAGTTTAATGTTCTATAGACTCTTTTGAAAATAAAAACATTTTAACCATTTGTGAGAACTTTTCAGTATTTCTTTCATCTGGTCCTAATTTGTTATCAAGATCGTTAGCCTAAGAAAAATCATACAGCTGAGAAATGTAAAAAAACAGGTTCAACCACTTCCTTTTTTGTTATGTTTTTATGTACATAAAAAGGAGGTAAAGTTAAAAAAAATTTCAATTAACTTTATATAGCACCAATTCATAACACAAGTCATCTCATGGCACTTTACAGAGACAATTCTGTCATGATCTTGGCGCTGAAGGTTTGGTTTTTTCCTTTGCTCCTTGCTCCCCTGTCTAATTGGTTCTGCGGCTGATTATCGCAGATCATTTCCACCTGGTTTCTCTACTATTTAGGTTGTGTGTTTGCCTCCCATCAGCGCGAAGTTATTCGTGTTTTTGTGAGACGTTCCCTCGCAATCTTTAGTCTGTCTGTTTTCCCAGTTGTGACCAGTTTCTGCCCTGAGGATCTCAAGTTTTTGCCTTGCCCCTGTCTGCTCTGTTTGTCGTATCTGGTCCTGGATTCTACCGGCTTCTGAACCTGGAACTGTCTCCTGACTTCGGCCTTGGATTTCCCTTCTGGACTCTGTTGCTGCTCGGCGTCGGCTGGAGCTCTCTAAGAACTCTGAGGGCGTCGCCCGCCGCATCTGCGGTCAAACCTCCCTCCGGGATTCTGATGTTCTCCGCGAACGGACTGAACTTTGAATCCGCCCCGCAGCAGACGAGCAGCCCCGCGCACCTGTTTGTATTCAATAAACGCTTTTAACTTTCCCACTGCCTGTCTCGCCTTGAATTCTGGGTCCAGTATTCTGAGATCATTACACAATTGAGCCTGATCATACAGTCAGGGTGTTTCAAAGTACTCGAAAGAAATCCCTCACACCGAGCATGCTTGTAGCGACAGTGGAGAGGAACAATGCCGTAACTATCGGTAAGCAGAGACTGCAGTTGCTTAGGGGGCCCCGACCTCTGACACCAGGTAGGTCCCTTACACAATTGTGGACAAGGATGTCTCTTTGCAGATGTAATGGAGCGAAAAATTCCTCTTAAACCTAACTGATAATAGGATGACTGATCGGACCGTATTTATACCCCAACACATGTCAGATTTCAACATGATGGTGAGCCGTTTAAACACGACACCAATAGCAAAGCAGACAGTGGTACTTTAAATTACTATGTTAATAACTGTTCATTGGACGGTTGGTAAAAATACACTCATAAAATATGTTTCAAACCACAATAAAGGTCTTAAAAGAACAATGTATTTGAGTTTTATTTTCTTTTTTTACAATACGACTTGGAATTATGGGTAATCCAGAGCGTAGATTAAATCCATAACCGTTACGTAAAATGTGTTCTCGACGATGAATACGAAAATGTGGTACTTAAGTGGATTCCATAAAAGAAAAAGCAAAGAGCTGCTGGAAGAATGGAAAATACTTCCCAAAATAAACACGTTCTTTCAAAGAACCAAAGAGGAAGAGGTGGACGTTGCTGCTGCTACAGTGAGTAAAGATTGCGACCAGAAGATGAATGGAGGGAGCGTGGGTGAGGAGGGGAGTAGTGAAACTAAAGGTAGCCCGATAAGACTCATTTTACTATTAATTTTTAATATACTACAATATATCAATGTCTAGTGAAGGAGAAGAATGATGAAATGATGAAGTGTGTATGTATGGGGCACATTTCCATGGGAGGGGAGAGGAAGGATTAGGACCATCTGTTGTGAGTAGTTGTTTCGTTGGCGGCCTCACACCAATGGGTCACGGTCTTATGTCCACCTAGGCCACTCTGGGAAACTAAGAGTCATTCTAATACAGCAGAGATGATATCGTAGACCTTGAACTTCTGGGGAACCTATGCAGCTTTGAAGAGATCTGCTCATGATGCTCTCACCTCAGCACTGGGTGTTACTAGAGCCCACAGCTCAGGAAGGCAGGCAGTGACTAAAGTGTTTGGGTCGGAACAAGTCACAGCGCAGAATGACACACCTGACACAAGGTGTCTGGCCAGGACAGGAACCAGGTGATGATATGATTGATTGATCTATGGCGGATATTTAACAAAACTCCTCATTTGTTGTATCAGAGGGGGTGTACCACCAAGGCTCTGCTACATTTTAAGCTCAGAGCTCTTTTCAAAGAGGGATGCAGTTTTTTGCCAAGAAAAATGGACTTCGGTTACTGAGATTGCACCACATGTAACGTGATATCCAGCTAGAATTTCAGGTCTCTCTGTTGCATCCAGACCAAGGTTCAAAGAAAGAGATTTTCCTTAGTGAATGTAAAGGTGCGACATGATTCAGGATGTGATGTCAGAGGGACAGGCTGCATCAAAACAAACCGTCAGTCGGTATTGCTCTATAACACATCCATCCATCCATCCATCCATCCATCCATCCATCCATCCATCCATCCATCCATCCATCCATCCATCCATCCATCCATCCATCCATCCATCCATCCATCCATCCATCCATCCATCCAGTATACCTTCATATCCTTCCAGGTTGTAGCAGGCCTGGTTTCTATTTTTTAGCAGTCATTAGCTCGATGCAGGCTTTCCTGATCAGGTCCCAACAATAAAGGCAGGAATAGACAAACTTTAGAGACTAAGTTGGTGACATAGTTCTTCTAAATCCAAAGCAGGTTTCAAAATAAATGTCCCTTCACCTCAATTAATGATCTCATAGCGGCTTTTTATCCTGCTTTAAAATGAGGAAGTAGAGCATTTAAAGCTAAATGTATGTTACTTCTCCAGAAACATATATTTTTTAAAGTAAAATGGCAAGAATGGTAATTAAAGATATAAAATGTTGCCTTGGAAAAATCATCCAATTTCCTGTAAATATTTTCTAACGATGCTTCAAGGCTGCAATGAAATTGTCCAGAGAGCTGATCTAAACGACATTTCTTTTTTTTTTTACACTTATGTAAAGAAAATGACAAATAAATCTGTCTAAGTCTAAACTGAGCATCTTTCACAATGTTTGATACTTCTTATCTACTTCCTAACAGTGTAGCTGCTATCTAAATGTGGTGAAGGTGTTAGTTTATACGGAGCTAGAAAAGTCTCAGTTTTCACAAAGTCATATATGTGATTCACACAAGCACAGCACGAGATACACACACACACATTTTGTTCTACTATATGTAGTGAGGACCATGTGTCGTATCCCATTGACTTCCATTGATTTTCGGTCATTTTCAACCCTTTCTATGCACTAATCCTAAACCTAACCATTACCAATGCATTCCTCACCCTAACCCTAACCCAATTGACACCTTAGCCCTTAACCTAACCGTTAGCAAAATAGCCTGTGAGGACCGCCAAAATGTCCTCACTTTGCAACAACTGGTCCTCACTCTGATGGTGAAATTGAAAAAATGGTCCTCACTCTGATGGCTGGACAGGTACACACATGATAAGATCCACACATTAACATGCTGATTCAAACAAGCACATAAGAATTACATATTTACAAAGCAAGATTCACAAGTGTTTGTGATGCATATGGCATTATCTCTTTATTCAAAAACTACTATTGGTCTATTAACTTGAAAAGGCGTGAATGAATAAGATAATTGCATTTTTGCAGCCAAATGCAAGAACGTTTACCACATAGGCAATGATTTTCTTTATATGGTAGAGTAGGAAGTCACTGCAGCACACAGAAAGCAGAAGAGACTGACCACATGGCAGCCCCATACCATATATTGATGCTATATCCTATATTAGTTTTTCATGTTTTGTTTTGTTTTTTTATTAAATGATCTACTTTGGTTACTTTTGTTTCTTGTTTTTAAAGATATATTTTATAGGATGATATTAAATGTTCAAATGGTCCTCTGTCAGATGACCTGGCTCAGCCTGAGAGGTCAGTCTCTTGCAGATATGGGGTGGGTCTAAACTCTGTGCGTCTTCATGCAACAGCAGGAAAGAAAATAAAGAAGTGTTATGGAAGAGCTAAGATAAATTGTTAGGATAACAGACAACTGTGAATTGTTTTCAAGTCCATAGACGGATACTTGCAGCAAGAAAATGGCTGCATAAATAGATTGTAGACGATAGAGAAAAAAAGAGATGAACTGTATTTAATTTATAATTCTAACACAATGCGCGTAGAGCAGAAAAAGTTGTAAAGCTCATAATTTAACGTCTTTTTGTTTAGAACAAACCTCCCTTATGTGTTTAGGAACCCCAAGTCTTTTAAAAATGAGTAGTGTATTAGCATTTAAACAATGTTTGAAACCTGACAGATATATTTTCCCACAAACTGAGATGAAGTTCCTGCAGAGACAGGAAATCTGTTTCTAACACATCATTGTGGTGAAAGACGCAGCTACGTACTTTATGAACTTTGAAAAAAAAAGGGAAGGAAACAGACAGATCAGGACTTTTATGGTCTGAAGAAGAGGTATAAGAACATTAGTTTTTATATGCATTTAATGTAACTTCTCCTTTTCTGTGCTGAAGTTTGAACAAAGTTTTCTGATTCTGTGCAGCAGGTCTGGAAGTGAGGATGGGGCACACTTTGCTCTGCAGGCTGGGCTTCTTCTGTAAGTAAATTACCTACTTTCTTTCCATCTATTGGAGAATTTACATAGTGCAGTTTATAGTATGTTGCTAGTTTAAACTGTCTTTGCTGAAAAATTAAAGTATCATATTACTTTATTTTTTTAAGTACAGTATGAAACTTTAAAAATATATAGGATTTGAACATGTTACTCTGTGGCAGCCAGATGTGATCAAACCTTGTTACTTGTGTCCAGTGGTGGGCAGTCAGAGCCTTCAAAGCCTTTTCTGCTGGCCTAAAATCACTCAGAAAAACTAACCTACATTCATAACCTAAACCTTTGATTTTATTCCAAACAATCTGTTAATTTAAATTTCTCTTGGCTGCGATGATTCCATTGCATTTATGTGGTTGCTATATTTTTTGTCCAATCAAATTTCAGCCTCTGTGTGTTGCTATGTCAGTCAAATCTGCCCAGAGCCTTCAGGGTCAGCAGTGCTGACTGATGTTATCTTAAGGTAGCAAGAATCAGCATTTTATATCTGTTTTCGTTTCATGTTTTTCTGGCCTCAATGGCTGATAATAAATGGAGATACTAAGATTTCCTGCACAAAATCAGAAGGATGGATTGTGTATTCTATCTGGTAGTTTGATGCATATTTAATCTGAATGGCTCCTGCTGATGTAAATATGGCCGAGCTGCAGTTATAGAGTAGACATTTACAATTGTCTTAACTGGGCTTCGTGCTTAATTGGTTTCTGTATTCACCCTCATACTAATCTTCCGGTTATACCTGCACTAGTTACATTTCATATTATAGTAGTCATATTATATATGAGTATTATTGGGGGTTTATTTCATTAAAATGTGAAAATGGTGATATCAACCCCTTGACACACATCATTGCAAATATACAACAGACCCTTTGTATTACCAAGATAGCATGTGCATTCCCTCAGTGCCAGTTAGTGAACAGGAACCTTTGGTAAGCTCTTGTTTCTGTTACAACTGGTCCCTAACAGTTTATTATATATATACACACATTTATATTCAGACGTCAAGGGGTTAGGAAGTAGAAGTAGAGGGGGCCCCACTGAAGGCCTAGGTACCTATGCTTGTGTCCTACTACAGTTGGAAGCCAGAATGATTTGTTGTAGCAGCAGAATCATTTCAGAAAGATTCACCAGATTTTAGAAGATGGAGGAGGCTGAGAAAGCTGAGGAAGGACTTATGATTAAGAAATCGGTCACAGCAGCATCTCTTTAAATCTCTGATATCACTGAAGATTTATCCTTAGATGTGGGAAATCAGATTTGTTTCTAGTGAGTCTGGCTGACTGATTAAAGCTCACAATCATATTCTCAGTTCATTCTTTCAGGATGAATAGTGTTATTAGAATGAACTGGTTTCTCTGCTGTTGTTTATTTCTTTCCACTGTTTTTCTGGTGTTTTTATTCTAAAAATGTCGGCTTGTTCTATTTTTCTAACTGTTATTATTATTTTTAATATTATTATCATATTCTCCACAAGTCCTCCTCTGACACTTGATGAAAACAAGTGTTATAAAGTTATCTTTAATGTATTGCACAAGAGAAATGACATGACGTACATGCTTTTCAAGATTTCAGCAAATGTTTTGTCAATAAACACTAAAAGAGGGAATTTTGATATTAATTCTTAAGCATGATTATCAAATGAAACCAACTATGTTTTGTTTTTACCTCATCTCTGGTGGAGAAGTTTGAGCAGAGATGGGCTAAAAGACAGGGAGGAGAAAAGGAGAGGGCTCTGTTCTCTATAAGTGCCAAGACATTTTCAAAAAGATTCCTTCACTCTGAAAATCTCAGAAGGAATAAACAGCATTTCCATTAAATAATTCATGCTGTGCCACGGTGAAAAAGGCTCTCTGTAAAATGGCCAACTACAGAGATTGCTGTTGTGAGTCTGTGTTCAGCCCTGCTCCATTAAACCCATTAAACTCCAAGTTCTATTATCATTTTAAACAATACCTTAAGTATCAAGTATTAAACATTTCACTTTTAAAACTTTAGTTTTAAAACCAAAACATTTTCCTTTTCTAGTATGAGATCTCACTCTATCTCTATCCTGACTGCTCCTCTTGCTGCTTGGGCCAAAAGAGGAGCTCGGTTTGACTTGGCCTTTTCCTCCACATCCTGTTTTTCCAGTAAAGAATATCAACACAGTCAAAAACTAAACTGATAGAAATGAAAACAATATTGTATTTCTACATGTTTCAAGGAGTTTTATTTGTCATTTAACAAATGTTAACATGTAATTTAATTAGTTTTGCAGGTTCCAGAGCAGTCCAATGTCAAAATATGAAATAGTAAAAATTGATGTAAATAAGTTGAAGGATAAATATTAAATAAACAGCATAAAATATGCACAGTTAAGGAATTTTATTTAATAAAAAAATATAGTATTCTTCAACATTACAACAGTTCTCAATAAAATGGTGTATTCTGATGCTTTTTGAAGGACCGTGGTGACTCTTTAAGTGAGGGAAGCTTACCACAGAAAATTATTGTTATTATTATGAAAATTAAGCTGATGCTTTATTTTATTTTTGTGCAGGACTTTCTCTTCCGCTTTGTGATATCTTGCTGCATTTGCTTTGGCATATGGCAGAAATAATAAACAGGTTCAACCAAGGGTGTAACTTGGTAATGAAAGTTGGTGGGGACACTGGAAGGGTGGGTGGGGACTAATGGATCTACAGTAACTCGACACAAACACTTTAATTAGGTTTTTGTATTTTCCAAAAATGAGCTCAAACATATATTTATTGACTGCTTTCCTATTGTTGAGAACACAAGAGAACCATAATACACTGATATTTATATTTATAGATAGTTAGAGAGATGGCTTTTGGTGCATTATATATATATGTAGCCCCAAAATATTAATGTATAAAAAAATAACAAATAACAGCTGATTCCAATGCCAAATTCGCTAGACTGTCCAATTTCAATTCCATCCATCCAGTCAAATATATGGGTATGTTACATTTTAAATATAGAATAACATATCTTTTTCTTGTAAACTTTCTGGTAAACTTGGAGATATATTTTTTTGCATGTTACATACCCCAGTAAACCTGTTTCACCTTTAAATCTGCAGTTATCCCTACTTCTCGCTGTGCTCTGTTTAAAAAGATTTACAAACCTATTTACTAATATGATGATGCAAGAAACAAAATTTCAAGATATGTAGAAGCCTTACAGCTTGATTCTGTCTGCACAATAAGAAAACATTTTAACATGTAATTTTGAGTCATGGTCCTCTGAGAAACCTATATTTTTTAAACTAGTAAAAGAAGTACAGAACATTTAAACTATGTTTTCTCAAGCTTCTTGCATTATAATACTCACTTTTATAAACTTATAACCTGTTGCCATTTTTGCAGAAAAAGCTCCATATGTCTAATGAACGGATTTTTTGGTGGCATCTCAAATTTTTTATATTTTACTTAAACATCAAAGTAGCTGCCGGTTAATAATCACTGAGTGCTGCTGTGTTTCTGTCCTGCTCCACGTAGCTACTTTGTACACAGTGAATTTCACCAGCAAATCAGATGTCTTAAAGCGACAGATCCGATTATGTTACACCAAGAGGCGGGACACTGAAGCAGCACGAGAGAGGGAAAAAAAATCACTGACTCAAAACGCTCTGAACTCAGATAGCTGCACCCAACCTTTGCTACCTTTGGCTTAAGTAAATGAGTGGAAAGGGGAAAAAAGTGGAAAGTATAGGTGGGGACTGTCCCCGTCAGGCCAAAGTTGGGGGTGACATGTCCACACCAGTCCTTTAGAAAGTTACGCCTGTGGGTTCAACATCCAACACATGGCTAACATATCAGTCGCATAATGGATGTTGATTCAGTCGGTGGAAAGTGACTGATGGAGTTAAATAAGCTTTGGTTTGATGGTTCTTTGCTGTCTGAACAGCTTGCTGGGCTGAATATTTCCCCCTGAAAATGCTTGTTTATCTCACCGTCATCTACAACTTAAAATGCTCTCCACCTTCATGTGTAGCTTTATGGAGTCCTATTCCAATAACAGCTGTCACTACCCGATCCGTCTCGGACGCAGAATCCGTACCATCAGCTAATATGAGCATCCAGATATACATCCGGGTCGCTCTCGATTTATTTTGTAAAAAAGGCCTAAATTATGTTTTTCCCTCCAAGAAAATAGTAAGCGTACTAAAATACAATGTGTTAAAGGTTAACAATGTATTTCCTGAGAAAATAAATGTCTGTTTTATCAGTCGTCGGTGCCCGATCTGTACAGGAGCTAACTTTCTTGGCTTTGGATGTCAACATAAATCTAGTCTTTTTGAGTTTTATGTTTCTTTCTTTCATGTTAACGTTATAGTATACAGGTGCTGGTCATAAAATTAGAATATCATGAAAAAGTAGATTGATTTCAGTAATTCCATTTAAAAAGTGAAACTTGTATATTATATTCATACATTACATACAAACTCATATATTTCAGATGTTTATTTTGTTTAATTTTGATGATTACAAATGACAACAAATGAAAATCTCAAATTCATCATATCAGAAAATTAGAATATTGTGAAAAGGTTCAAAATTGATGGCCCCTGGTGCCACACTCTAATCAGCTAATTAACTCAAACCACCTGCAAAAGCCTTTAAATGGTCTTTCAGTCTAGTTCTATAGGCTACACAATCATGGGGAAGACTGCTGACTTGACAGTTGTCCAAAAGACGACCATCGACACCTTGCACAAGGAGGGCAAGACACAAAAGGTCATCGCTAAAGAGGCTGGCTGTTCACAGAGCTCAGTGTCCAAGCACATTAATAGAGAGGCGAAGGGAAGGAAAAGATGTGGTCGAAAAAAGTGTACAAGCAAGAGAGATAACCGCACCCTGGAGAGGATTGTGAAACAAAACCCATTCAAAAATGTGGGGGAGATTCACAAAGAGTGGACTGCAGCTGGAGTGAGTGCTTCAAGAACCACCACACACAGACGTATGAAAGACATGGGTTTCT